ATATATTTATAAAACACCTTTTATAGCAACCAGATTTTCCCCACGAAATAGTGAAAAGGCCTTTGTTACAATGAATCGTGGGAAGCTACCTGCCGCCGCGACCTTGCTTATGAACAAAATGTACAGCGCGGGATTCCCCTCCGTTGCTGAGCAGCACCACTGATGGACTCATTGTTGTACTTCCAGAAGCACGGCGCGGTTTTAAGCACATGGTCTGAAAATATGTCTGGTCAACGGAAGCAAATCTCGTTGTTTGCGAAGGCTGAAATTGTCTCTCACTTACAAAAGGGAGTCTCCCAGACCAAGCTCAGCCGAGACTACGAATTGGCAGTCAACCATTTTGATAATCATCCGTAATGGTAACAAAACCATGGCAGAGTTTGAGGCCGAGAGATGCAAAGATGATCGTAAACGGCTTCAGGGCACGGCACATCGTGATTTGGAGAAGAGGAGCATTTCATTTCCTGTCCGAACGTTTTCTTCATACTGTCTTGACGTATTTTTCATCGACGTGATTATACTGTATTACATGTTCATGTTTTTGCATCTAAATATATTCATACTGTATTACACATCGTTGTTGGTGGCGATTTTATTGGAAAGGGTTTCAATTATCTATATGTACATACATACACACACAGAATTCAAGAGAGAGAGAGAGAGTGACGCATCTACATCTAAAATGTGATCATCAACCTAATCTGGAACATAATTTGTCATGTCAGACGCGGTTTGCAGTAACTGATACTAATGGGTTCCGATGGGACATCACTTTTACTTGTTGCAAGGCCATTAATCATTTTGAGGCACTTTCTTCGTGGAAAGTCAACGGATTTCAAATGTGATTTGGTTTTAAAACTCTTCCAGTTGTTTCTTTTTTAACAAAACTTACGCTGTTCCTTCTGTCAGTAAACATTGACGGACGCTATGAAGTGCAACCTTCTGCACAACGACGCTTTTAGGGTGTTGGGAGGCAATTGACTTGAATGCAAATCAGCTGTTTGTTGGTTTTGTTTCCTGAAAATGCTAAAAAAAAAAAAAATGACCTGGACAGTCATGTTGTTTGACTTCCATTCTTTGTCTTTGCAATGTACATTGTATGTGGAAAATCATTCTTCAACTCATCATCATACGTCAGAAATCGCACGTCCTTTTACTCGACTTATTCTTACTCGCCGATTCTTTTGCTGACAACATTTTTGTTTGTACAAAGTGAATAACCCTCCCCAAAACAAGCACGAAGAAGAGAACGTTGTGAAATCTGAACAACAAATTGAAGTTGTATTTCCTTACTACTAATAATAGTCATCTTCCAAGTTGTTTCTACATAATTAATACGGTCCTCTGAAATGACAGTTGCTGATCTCTTGTCTCGTATCCGGCAAACGAAAATGTTTTGGGTCGAGTGCAAAAATAACAGAAGCATTCGTTACTGTTCTGATACTTTTCAAAAGTCCCTCATGTTTGATTATTTTTTGTGTCCTTTTCAGACCTGGAAAACTTCAAAACCCACAGACGAAGTTCCGTTTCAGTCCGAGAAGGTCAAGGAGTGGTTCTGTTATGCGGCCCTCCGCCACATTCTGGAGGTAAAATCCAACGTTGTTGTGTTCGATTGAGCTAAACAAAGTCAAAGCGTTCTTCCCCAGCTCTGCGTTCACATTTCGCATGTTGAGAGTTTTAATTGGCAATCGCTCAATAGTTTCAGAATGCTTCATGATAACTGCTTTTTTTTTTTTTTTCGGGTGTAATGGCATCAGCAAATGACAATACTCAAAGCATATATCCAGTCTGCCAACCAACACCCCACTCCCCGCCATTTTCAAAGCCCTCATTGCATTCTCCTCACATCCCATGAATGAGTGGCACATTCAAGGGAAACCTCTGCACATCCCTATTCAGGACCATATGTTTTCAGACCTTCCCGTCGTGGTGGCAAGCCCAAGGCTCTCGTGGCTTTCCACCTGCCAGAAGGGAGGTCTCAGAGGACACATTATGCATGGCAGACAGCCGTCTTGGCCTCTGGATGGAGCATGTGCCCATCCATGCGGCAAGACATGTTCGGACAGAAGAAAGAGATGGAAAACGAGTGGGGATGGTGACAGAGTGCCACCCATTTCAAGGGAATTCAAATGTATTCCCTGCTCAGCGCAGGAAGTCACATCTGCTCTTCGGCCTTATTCGCCGTCTTGTATGAATGTGTGTGAATGGAATACCAAAGTCCTCGTTTGGTCTTGTTCATCCATTTCTGCCGAGTTGCTCTTGATATAAATGAAAGCAAGACTTTGTTCTGCATCGTGGCCTTTTTGAGCCTCTAAACCAGGGGTGCCCGAGTCCCTCCCCCAAGCGCCGCTGTCCGACCTCTAACACTCAGCACTCATTCAAACAATCAGCTCATCAGCACGCTTTGCAGAAGCTTGATTACGATGCTGATCATTTGAATCGGCTATGTTGGAGGCGGGAGATCTTTGAAACACGCAGCGCAGCGGCCCTTGAGCACCGAAAAAACATTTGAATCAGTGGTTTGAGACGCCATCACTCCCACAAGCAACTTTGCTCGGTTGCATTTTATTTTTTTATCCAGGCACCCGTATTTCACTCACTGAGTGCCAGCCATTTTGACTGATTTTTCAAGGCCCGCAAATTGTGCTTTACGGTTACTTGTACGTTGAATCCACCAAATGAAAATAGTTTCATTGCAACCTTGACCATTCTCGACTAATCAGCAGTAGAACATTGCTGAGTTTTATGAAATTTGGCCTCTTGGCCCAACATCTGCAGAAAATGAGCTTGATGTGGGCGGGGGGGAGCAAAAACATCACAAGCAGACGAGTGACTTGAATGCTCATATTTTTTTTGCTAATGACAAAACAATAATCTAGTGACAAGCGGTGAATTTACGCCTTTTGTCATCCATAAAATGCATAGAGCAAGAAGTTCCACTCATCATTAACACGACATGTACCATTCTAACCCTACCGACCCCCAACCCAAGGATTATTCATTCTGATTATCAAATGACACATTTTTGCAATCCGTCCCAATCCCTTTTCAGTCATATTCCCATGCCTGTCCGGATGTAAAAATATCACATCACTGTCACTCCCCCCCACCCCCCGCACGCTTTTGGAGGCTTTTCCGTTTTGACATCATCCAGCACAGTTCGCATGGTGACAGGCAGCCGGCAACAGGACAGCGCCATGAAATGGGAGATGCTGAATTTCCAGGGAGTGACACTCTGTTGATTAGAGTTCCTAATCATGTATGAAAAGGTCACAGAGGAGTCTGAGTGGGGCGCGCACTCATTTCCCAGAGGGGACATGTGATTGACAGCCCTCCTAAATCTCCTTTAAAGCCTATTTTAAGTTTACACTTCACTGTGGCGCTCTTTTTTGCGTGTGGGGTATGACAGGCAAACCGATGGGGTTGAAAACATACAAAGCGCTTCTTCTCTGCTCGTGAAAGGAAGGAGAAAAAAAAAAAGGGAAAAGTATCACCTGTTTCACTTTGGCTATGACACCGTACACACGTGTGGATCCAACTTGCTGGGCTTCAATCCCATGTAATTTCCTCAGGCTGTCTGTGCTTCGAGAGAAAGAAATCCTCGAGGGCCTGTGGATGTTTCATCCCAGAAGAGATGCGCCTGCGGTGCACGTTTGAAAATAGCAACAGCACCTTGACAGCTTTGAACACATAAAATAACATTCCAAATGTACTGTGGCTCGAAGAGGCAGTTTTCTCTGCAAGATTCCCTTTTAAGTCAATATTACAAACTTGAGAAATTGTGTTGGCGTCATTCAGCTATTTTATGAATTACGATATGATTCCCCACAGATAGATCGTGTATTTAAAGAGATTAAAACCGTGCCAGTATGTTTAAATGGCCCATGTGCCAGCCACCTTTTAATTTAATTGACTCTTTATTTCACCAGGTCGATTGGTTGAGAAACATTTCTTATTTACAAAGAAGACCCGGGAAAAAAAAATAATCCTGCACTCTAGCATGACTTTTGGCAGCGGTCTGGCTCGTTTGAATGGTTCTGAAATTCTCAGGGAGCCATTGTAGAATTTAGAAGACAAAACTGGGCAACGATTGCTCTCTCCAAAGGTGTTTCGGTGCCGATCCGAATCACTCTTGCCTGACCTCGGTGGGGTTCTATACTTCACCTTGTGCAAACGCGTTGATATTTGTCAGGGTGTGATGCTTCCCATGAATTGGATTTGCGTTTTCAATACATTGTGCAGGCACATTTGATGTGGTGGTGTCCGCCTCATCCAGTGGCAGTCTGATTTCCCCTCTGGCTGTCACCGTGGATCAGTGGCAACAAAGCGCGAGTCCGTCTGGCTCCGTCTCTTTCGAAGGCATTAATGGACCGCAAATGTGACTTTACGTTGACTCGCGTTGAGGACGTAATGCCTCTGACCTCTATTTCATAACGCTCGGAGACCTTTGAGGAGCACTCAAGACTGAAATCACTTTGCTTCCTTTGTGAAATACTGTCTCTCTTTTTTTCTTTTTTCTTTTTTTTTTTTTGCCGCTACCTGAGGCTTTATAAACACGGTACATTGAAATCCTGTCCAGCCTTGTAAAGGAGACAGTAGATCAGAGGAGTCTGGGAGCCCAAATGACAATCGTGTACCCGCTAACACACCAAAGCTTTTCAGCCCTTCTCCAGAGTAAGAGGAGTGTCTCCGCCTCGCTTTTCTTTATTAATATGAAGTTTTCCCTTTCGGTTTCACTTCAGAAATGGCGTCGTTCATTCATTCGATCAATGCCACAAAAGTCATGAACGTTAGCTGTCGTCTCCGACAACAAACTCGTTCTCTTCTCGTCCCCTGGTGGCGGCCGCAGAAAGCATCCTTGCATCTCCCGTCGCCATGAAATCAGCAGAACGATGCCAGCAAATTTCATGGACGTATGCCATTCCGTCATGCTTCGCCGAGGAATCGCAGCGGTGCTCCTCTCGATGTTTGCGCACGGACACATCAAGTCGCGTTGCAAGTCGCCGTAATTGTCATTCGTTTCACATGTACAACTTTGGAAATCAGACCGCAGACGGCAGTCAGGACGTATGCCATTCCGTCATGCTTCGCCGAGGAATCACAGCGGTGCTCCTCTCGATGTTTGCGCACACACACATCAAGTCGCGTTGCAAGTCGCCATAATTGTCATTCGTTTCACAATGTCCAACTTTGGAAATCAGACCGCAGACGGCAGTCATAAGTGTCTCAAAACTTTTAGTGCACAAGTTTAGGCTCTGTGTTGAAGACCGTTTAGAGAAGGCTGTTAAGTTGAAAGCAGCAGGAATAAAGCTGGGCCTCCCACCTTGATGAAAGTCAGCTCCAGCTTGGTCAAGGCCTCACTCTTGAAGTTGCTCACCATGATGTTTAGAGAAGGCTGTTAAGTTGAAAGCAGCAGGAATAAAGCTGGGCCTCCCACCTTGATGAAAGTCAGTTCCAGCTTGTTCAGGCTCCGATTGTTCAAGGCCTCTCTCTTGAAGTTGCTCACCATTTTGTGAAACATGTTTTATTCGGAGGAATTTTCTTTGGAGCTACGTTGAGGACATCGTGCTTCTGACCTCTATTTTTTAATACTCACAGACCTCTGAGAAGCACTCAAGACTGAAATCACAATCTTTAATTTTATTACTGTTCAACTCGTGCTTGGCTCAGATAATCACCATTACCAGAATGCCTGAAAAGACAAGGCATGATTTCCTCGCTCATCTTTTTTTGTCTATGCAGTTTGACACATCAGTGGGAGGTGCACTGAATAAGAAAAATGTTTGATTCTGTTGATAAAAAATGTATTGAATCGAGTTGATGTTTGACATAGCTTGTTTTTCTCCTCACGGTATCGTGCTGTGCGTGTTGTGCCGTGTATTCATTTGGGAGCAAGGGCAGGTGCAACCATAGTCCAGCACACTGGAGAGGAAAAAAGAAAAAAACATCCCCGCACAACATGATCTTGCCTTCAAGTTTCTTTCATCCCAATGGACATCTGCTTCATCATCACTCCGTGTTCTTCTGCTCATGCACTGCGACCAAATCCTAATCCCTATAGGCCCAAACGATGAGGATCAGCTGCTTCATTTCCTCCTGTGCAATGGTTGTACCCTTTTTGCCGCCTGAGCTGTTGCACCGTGCTGCGTTAAATGCTCAATCATTAGCGAGATGACGAAGGAAAAGGGCACCGACCCAACTGCTTGTGGAATACCTATCCCGCTAAAAAGCAGCAAGGTGTTAATAAGATCTACAGGGTAAATAGGACATAGCAGTCAACAACATGGCAACCCAATTAGGGAAAACTGCATGCATGCATACACACACACACACACACACACACACACACACACACACACACTCCGGTTTCCTCCCACATTCCAAAAACATGCATGGCAGGCTCATGGAACACTCGAAATTGTCCCGAGGTGGGGTTGTGAGCGCAAAAGGTTGTTGGTCTATGTGTGCCCTGTGATTGGCTGGCAACCAGCTCCGGGTGTACCGCGCCTACTGCCCGAAGACAGCTGGGATAGCCACCAGCACGCCTGCGACCCTCGTGAGGAGAAGCGGATCAGAAAATGGATGGATGGATGGATGGATGCATGCTTAGGATTAAGTGCGATGTCCCTCTTAAATTAACATCACCAGATCTGCTGCATTTCTCACAGACACCGAATGGTGCAGAAAACTGCATTAACTTGATGCGTCCTGATCATTCTTTATGCTAAAGTATTCAGACTTTATGCACCATGTACAAAGCATTCATAAGATGTTGAATAGCGAAATGACAACAGGTAAATGTGACGAGACCGCAAGTCAAAGTCATGTAAATAAGAGAACCATTAAGCGCGGTTATTGCTGACAAATTCACGTTGATGAATGATAATCATCTGTCAGGATTCATTGCGGCTGTTTCCAGCCATGCTTTTGTTCGTGTTCCTGAAATGGCTGGCCATTATTCTGTTTTTCTTAAAAACATGCCTTTTTTGAATGAAACTGATGCTAACATATCATTTGTGACACATACTGGTGTTGGCATAGGTTGTTGCACCGACATTATGGTAAATGTGCATCACTGGCATAGCATATGTCGGCCTGCGAGGTACTCATAAGTGATTATGATAGATGTTACTGTCCATAGGTGGGATGGTCATTGGGAATTTCATCAAAATATGTCTATTATCTCGGACGACCGATGTATTTCCAGGCAGGTCCTGACCATCACGCCCGCTATCATCCCCCCCCACCACCTCCCCAAATGTTTTGCTTTTCCGAAAATCCTACAATTTAAAAATCAAGACAAATAAAGTTTTCTTAGACTGGAAGTTAGTCTGTTTGCTGAATGAATAGGATGATTTTTACCTGCTGTGCTTGGCTTGTCACTCTCATGACACCGAAATGGTGCAGGGCCTTCATTAACGTCACATAGACCAGGGTGCTTTCATATTCCATGGCATTTCACCGTGCTCGAGAAGCAAAGAAGGGTAGTTGCCAGGGAGACAGCTGTTGGTGAGGAGTGGGTGACATCTACATTTGGAAGTAAAACCTACCCTAGTAACAGCTGCAAATACAGAACCAAGGTGTTCAACGGCTTGTGTTGAGAACAAGTACATTTTTGAAAGGACTCATGGTCAAAAGAAACACACAGAGAAATAAATAAATATGAAAACAAAACATTGAGACATCTGTGATTCCCCAAGCACATACAGTATAATTTAAAAAGTGTTGAACCTAAGATTGACCCTTGAGGCACCCCACACTCAAATTTCATGTGTTGTTCATGTATTTTTGGCGAGCTGTCGACAGGTGACATTGTGAAAGTGAATGTACAATTGATTGGACACAGTTTGTGTTATAAGTAATGTTCTGTATTCTGCTCTCGCCACTAAATCACCCCCAAAAATTTTCTTTATTTTTACAGATCTTGAATTCTCCTGGATTTTCAATGAGTACCCAACGTTTGTGGAGCAGGACACTCGTCGCTTCATCTCGCAGGAGACAGGGAATCTCTACATCGCTAAAGTCGAGCCCTCTGATGTGGGCAACTACACCTGTGTCATTACCCACCCGGTCACAAAGAGTCGAGTCCAGGGCCCACTCACCCCACTTGTGCTCCGTAATGATGGTACGGTAATATGCGCTTGCTCAGCACACTCTTTAATATTTGTCCCCAAAATATTCCCGTGTACATTCGGAAGATTTTTGATTCAGCAGAGCCTCTTCACACACACGGTCAACGGGATGCTTGGGAGACATATTGGCAGCTCCCATGGGGTTTAATGGGAACACGCTCACAACAGCACGAGATGAGCCTCATGGAAATACATAAGCTGAAATTGTCCTTGAGTTGTCAAAGCTGAACCACCTCTCTGCTGAGGAGTTGTATTTTGGTCTCGTTGTTCTCATTATTTTCAATGGAAGAGATTTTTTGTGTCAGTGATGTGAGCAAAGCGGGTTTCTGTTGCTCAGATCACAGTTGGAGACCAAAGAACATTTCATTATACAGAAAACAGAGGCGGCATACAAAAGAGTTTTTCAGAAACCACCGAAACGATCACGACTTGACAGTTGAGATTATGTTCTTGTGTTCAAAACAAAAAAAAAAAAAAGGTTTAACCAACACCGATGACATTTGCAACCTCCCTGCAGGTGTTATGGGTGAATATGAGCCAAAGATTGAAGTCCAGTTTCCCGACATGGTTCATGTCGCCAAAGGATCCACTGTGAAGCTGGAATGCTTTGCGCTGGGCAAGTAAGGCAACACCTGCATCAGGCTCGACATTTTCTTTGCAACATGAAAGGAAAAACATTTCTCAAATGTCTCGCGCTTGTTTGTCTTTCTGTGTTAACTGCTATTTCTCAGGCATTTCGAGCCAAGGTTGGAACATCTGAACGCCGTGGCTGCGAGTAAAAGCATTTTGAAAATAGGGTCGAATGGATCCCAGACTGCTGCGCGAGATCATATGATCAAAGTTAAAACGCCAGAATTTATCCCGCCGGGGTCAGAGGATATTTCCTGCAGTTTTTTAAATTCAGCAGGGAACGAAAGACTTTATAAGCCCTTAAACCTTTTGTGGGAATATCATGCTAAGTGTGAGCAAGGATACTTTAATCCCCCCCGAATGTCATCGAAAAGCTAAAGGGGTTGTGTTCTTTAATGCCTTCTATTTCAACAAAATGATGGCTGTTGCATCGAGGTCTTGTTTTCTTTTTTTTTTTTAACCGTTGAGAAAATGAAAAAACAACGACAGGGTCTACAATCAAATGCCGTCATACCGAGGGGCTTTCTTGTCATTTTCAGTTTGCAATGTCGAGATAACTGTAATAGTCTCGTCCTATTTAGAAAGCTTAAAAAAAAAAACATGAATGAACATTTGAATTGAGTCATTTTTTGCAACATAAATTCCAATTTTGGTTTTTTTGCCATGCAAGCTAACTGTATGATATACTTTTTGTCGTGCTAATTTTTACTCAACAAATCCCGAAAACAAGCCACTTAAAAATATGACAACAATAGATGTGGAATATGAAACAAAACAGCAGACACATGCTGTATGTATTCCTTCTCTGGATTTGAATATGTTTTAAGATACAGTGAAAAGAGAATTCTTTTTGAAATAGTTGTGGATGTCTCTACCACAGTGGAACTTCAGCCCTGGGCCATTTGCGGCGGCCATCCATTTTTTCGGCGGCCCTCTGCGAACAGCATGTGCTTGTCTCAACCGGTTCGTGACACTAAAAACGTTTGGGACCACTGAACTAGAAAATACAAATGACATATCCTTGCTTTTTTTTTTTTTACTTGAGCGTGTTTCAACAAGCTGACGAATTTAAAAGTGGCCCTTTCACATTTCCATTTTTCTGTACGCGCGGCCCTCAAACGAAAAAGTCCGGACAGCCCTACTTTACCCGCTTCGACCGACGCTCTTGGCTCTGAAACAATGTCATACTTTTGAGCATGAATTGATTCATGAATGAATGTTTCCATTAACGAAAAAAAAATGGATTTTTTTTTTTTTTTTTTTTAACATCTTTCAATTCATGCGTCTCTTCTCACCAGCCCAGTTCCTTCGGTCAACTGGAGAAAGGTGGACGGCGTTCCTTTCCCCCGGAAAGTGGACATAAGGAAAGCAAGTGCCGTTCTGGAAATTCCATATTTCCAACAGGAGGACGCCGGCACCTATGAGTGTGTCGCTGAGAATTCCCGCGGAATGAACACCGTCAAAGGAAAGCTTTCTTTTTACGGTAGGTTCTTGCGCCGATCCGACGGCGCGTCCGTACCTTATCCACAGCCCTGTGCGCGCCATTCCCCTCATCTGTCAGTCCTGCATGGCCGGCGCGGCACCAACACTCGACACAGTCCGTGTCTCATGTGAGAGAGAGAGAGGTGCGTTTTAACGCCGCATCAAAAATGATTAAGGACCGCCAGTCATGATGCCTCTAATATTTTGATCCAGATTAAAAGGAGTTTATGTGGATGAAGCTGAGCCCTTGCCTCCGACCTTGATGGCGACCTTTGTGTTGGGTTCCACCAGATGGCATCATGATTGACATTCTTCCAACTTGAGTGGAGATAAAAGCTATTAAATGCTCTCTACATAGACCAGTGGCACATATGTCGGGGACGTAATCTTCCCCAAAGCATCTGGAATGACAGGAAGGGGGTCAGTGGATTCACTCATTGCTGTGGTTAGTTCAGCGGTTGAACCCTCTCGCCTATTCAGTTCAGATGTTTGATGAAGAGCCTCCCCCCCCCAAAAAAAAACATTGGGTTCAAAAAAGTTTGCTACTTTATATTTGGTAGTTCATGTATTTTTTTAAGGAAGATACATATGTGAGTTGAACGGCAAAACTGAGTTTGATACACGCATTTCATTCAAAGTGTCACTGCCGAAGCCAAAAGGCATTTTCGACTTTACGGTTAAAAGTTTTGAATTGGCAACACAGTACCTCCCCAGATGCTGTAAAGTGGCCATTCTCTGCCTCCTCCAAGAATCGGTACGCCACATTTGTGTGATCTTAACCCTTGTGCTGCAATTTCTACGATGTTTGTAACACATGGGTTACCCCATATGAATACGACTATATAGTATGAGGAAAACATTCAGTCAACAAACAAAAGTGGGCCAGAATTTTTCTGTGTTTGCCGCATTATGTGGAGGATGGCTCCGTCTCACTGATGCCACTGAACATGTCGAGTGGTTGAAAGTGAAATAAATATTCAGGAATAATACTTTTACAATTTTTGTAAAATTGTATGTTGCGCTATATAAACTTATTTAGATCGACTGCAGCACATGGGTTGATGAGGCCTGTGCAAAGGGCCAACTTTAAGACGGTGTTCCATAAAATGAGGGGAATGCAAATTTTGGGGTGAGCCCAAATGCAGTCGAACCTCGTGACAACGTACCTCCAGGGACAGAACCAATCATAGCGGTAGTTTGTTGAAACCATCTCCAATAAAATGGCCGCCAACTACAATGTATAATACAGTATGAACACTTATAGATGTAAAAACATGAACATGTTGTCCAGTATAATCGTGTCGATTAAAAATACGACTATATAGTATGAGGAAAACATTCAGTCAGCAAACAAAAGTGAGCCAGAATTTTCCTGTGTTTGCCACATTATGTGGAGGATGGCTCTGTCAAGTCAATATAAACTCATACATGCCACAAATACATTTTCAAGTTGTAAACCACACATACACACACACACACACACACACACACACACACACACACACACACACACACACACACACACGCGCATTAGTCCGTCATGCAGGTGCATCGGTTGTTGCGTACAGTATACTGAGATAGAGGCTTTGGTAATAAGGTACCTTCGTGGTGGTCGGGTGGTCAGTCATTTGGATATTCTTCCAAAAGAAAAATCCACTTGCTCTGACCTCATATAAAATTGCTTTTCCAAAAGTAAGGCACCGATTTTCGATTGTTTTGATTCTTATGTCATCATGTACTTTGGAGCAATATTCTTGCCTGGATATGTATTTATTTATTTTTAACCATCGTCACGTTGACACAAATTCCTTGCTATCTTTCTTTCTTTACTCCCCCCAAGTCCAAGTGTGTGAGCTGTCACAGAAAGAACTTATTTGGGCTATGAAGCAATTTACCATTGTTTACCACTTTTTCTGGAAGCCCCCGGCCTTTTTCCCTTGCACAACCTGGGAGCACGCCATGATCCACAGTGGCTGGTCGGAGTGAGCCGCGGGTCCTTTTTCATTTTGATGTCTTTTGTCTCCCTCTGTTTCTCTTCCTCTCATACTGTCTGCGGCCTGGTGATAAAAATCTCTAATCTTATTTTGAGCCTGCTTTGAATTAAGCTTTTGAGACATTTGTCAGCAGTGTAAGCCAATGGGGGAATCGATAAGGTGTATCTTGCTCATCCAAGCAAATTGCAAAAGTGGGTGAGTCTGCCTCTGAGAGGGAAATAAATGAAGGGAGTGCTCGACGCTGGCTCATGATTAAAACATTCACAATCATTCACGTTGTCACCTAAAAACAGTGGCCACTATTTGTCAACACACACACCGCATTACCTGCATGTGCCAAAACGTACACACACACCCAAACACAGACCTAAAATGCACATATATGGAAAAAAAAAATACATCGGTGAATATATATATATATATATATATATATATATTATTCGAGGGTGTGAAGGATTCTGTGTACACTGAGGCAGGATGCCATCCAGCCTTGCGAAATATTATGGACAAGTTTCCAGTCTCGGTAGACGCATTGGGGATGAGAAAAGGGAAATGTTTGCAGCCGAAAGTGTCCAATAGTTGAGCCGGAGGAGGTGCACAGCTGTATTACAGGGTAGCGCACAACCGAAGCCGAAAACGGGGCCAAAACTGGTAATGGAGGACGGCCATGATAGACAAATGGAGGGGGAGAGTGGAACAGAGACAAGTGAAAGCCTGTCCAGGTTCCAGCTTTGGCCACAGAATGCCTATTAGTCCTGGTGAAATGAAACCATTAACAAATAAAAAAATAAAATAAAAATTTTTGGATAGGGAAGCGGCAACTGAAATGCGCCAGTGTACTCTCCCTCCAGTTCCGGAAGATATCGACAATATTTAGTCCCAATTTGCAACAGTAAATTTCTCAGAGCGCTTTACGTATGAAGCAGATGTAGAACTTCACGCCTCACGACTGAAGAGAAGTGGACGGCCATGATAGACAAATGGAGGGGGAGAGTGGAACAGAGACAAGTGAAAGCCTGTCCAGGTTCCAGCTTTGGCCACAGAATGCCTATTAGTCCTGGTGAAATGAAACCATTAACAAATAAAAAAATAAAATAAAAATTTTTGGATAGGGAAGCGGCAACTGAAATGCGCCAGCGTACTTTCCCTCCAGTTCCGGAAGATATCGACAATATTTCGTCCCAATTTGCAACAGTAAATTTCTCAAAGCGCTTTACGTATGAAGCAGATGTAGAACTTCACGCCTCACGACTGAAGAGTTCAAATGAACCCTGTGTGAGCAAGCACCAGGCGATGTTGACAGGGAAAAACTCCCTCTAATTAGGAAATATCGAACAGAGCCAAAGGCAAACCATCTGCCTTGATAAAGGACGGGGACAAATGTCGCCATCATGCGCCTTGCTTTGACCAACTGAGTCCTGTTATCTCCATGATTCGCACAGATGGCATCATGCCGTTGAGTAACAGTTGTCGTTTTTTTTTTGGGGTTTTTTTCCAAAGTAAATATGCGGATCAGGCCAGCTTAAAGAACATGACATTGAGTTTTGAATCAAGCTGATTGTCAACAGAGCAAAATTTTTGGCACCCCCAAACACATTGTTACTCTCTGATTGGTCCGGCCCGATTCAGAAGACTCGGGACAAGATGGGCTCACTGGGTTTTGTGAACTCTCAAATGCTGCCAGAATTCAGCTTGACTTCATTGGAAATAGTCCAGGCACTCTGGCGCGGCAGCAGCGAAATGTCTTTTTTGCTTTTTTTCTGTATTACTACTGTAAATCCCCCCCACACACACACACAACTTGATCACAGATCCATCCACTGTGTGTGTGTATGTGCGCGCATGTGTGTGTGTGTGTGTGTGTGTGTGTGTGTGTGTGTGTGTGTGTGTGTGTGTGTGTGTGTGTGTGCCCACGCGCGTGTATAGAGTGAATACAAGTCTCTCTGCCTTAACCGCGCATCTTTTAAAGATAAATACAGTACTGGAACATAGAAGCCAATTAGAGCAGGATTTTTACGGCTCCAGAAAAAAAAAAAAAAAACTCCAAAAGGTCAGTCCTTGAGAGTGACATTCGGTGAGCTTTGTGAAATGGAAAAGTGCAGTCCGCCATTCGTCTTTTTTTGCCACTGGCCCCATTGTGATAGGAACGTGACCTACACACCATCTGGTACGTACCGAGAGCTTTGTCGCACTTGCTTTATCTTCCCACGAGTGCACATCTTTCTTAACAAGCCTTACCTGCAATAGACAGGAAAATGCAACTCTTTTCTTGACACTATCATTTACATTTTATGGCGCAAACAGGCCCTGATACATATACACTGGACATAAAATGGTTACATTATTTATTTGAACGAACCAAGCAAACGTCATCAAATCCGTTACAAAAATGATTTGGAATTGTCGGTCCTGTGCATGCTGTTGCAAACTTGTCACTCTAATGTAGTTCATGACTTGAAACTCTTTAGCCTATTGTTCACGCATTTGTTTGGTTTTTTTTTTTTCCAGCTCCGCCACATCTCATTGAGAAACCTCAAGATGTCCAGAAGCTCATCGATGACTCCTTGGCGTGGGAATGTAAAGCCACGGGAAAGCCGAAGCCCTCCTACAGGTGGATGAAAAATGGAGAGAACTTAGCGCCTGCAGAGGTGAGCCATGCGAGAATGTGTGTCACTGTCGAACTGAGGACGTCATTTTGGTTCCGTTTACAACAGCAGATGTCTCCAACGGGGCTGCTGGGCGAAGACCGTACAAAGGGCCCGCTTTCATGCTTTTTACATTACAAATCAATCCATAAATCAACCGCAGGAGCTCTCGGCTGCGGCGTGTACCTAATGAATAAACAGCTGCTTCATTATGCAAAACTGGCGACACAAACACACCAGAGGATATTGATCAGCGCCGGATTGTAATACATGTTGTTGGAATGAACCCAGTCTGGCACCACACGCGCACCGAAGCCTGTCTAATAAAAACGGCTCGCGGTGATGGTGAATACTCAACGGCATGCGCAAACGATGCCCGCGACATCTTTATTCAGTCATGGAGATCGATGTGAAAATACTCGCTTTTTTTTTTGTGGAGGCAGCTGCCTGAGCGGAGTGGCCCACCGATCCGCTTGCCCCAGCTTTTCCCGGTTGAATCCCGAGGCCATCCCAAGCCGGACAAAATCCATTCATTTCATCTTTCCGTTGAATTCCGGGTGTTCCCTTGGGCGTCCAAACTGCAAAGCGACTCAGCAAGGAGGCATCGTGGAGATGGAGGGGTAGCCTGATGCCACGAATGGCTCCGCTCGATGCGCAGGAGCAGCGGCTCTACCTTGAGTCCTTCCAGGATAACCGAGCTTCTTGACGTATCTCTAAGGGGGGAGGAAACACATTCTATCCACTCGTATCTGTCAGCGTATTTTTATTAGCCACAGTCGTATTTTATTATTATTAATTTTTTGGGGTGTCGATAAGTTCAATGTCAAATTAGCCATGATTTGTTTTTTTTGTGTCCAAACGGTCTCAACAAATAATGATTATGATTGTAATACAAGAAGATTGCTCATTGTTTTCTATTAAATACGATGAAGTGCACCATATTTGATCAGGTGATATAATGATATCGTTTACGATAAAAGATCATGTTCTAATTTTCCTATATATTCGACCACAAAAATACCCCCAAAAAACGTTGGTCCATAAAATCTCCTTCTAAAAGATTCTCAAACAGTTCCAAAAATCTTTCAATATTGCTGTACTGTACTCTTAAAAAAACAACGTGTTTGACCGATTCGGCACCGCCCAGTCCATTTCTTTCTCATAGCCGTCGCTCTTAAAAATATTAAACGTGCATTCAAATTCCCCATCATTTCAATGACATTACAGCAAAAACACAATCTCTTCACTGCTGCAAAGACAAAAAGAAATCTTCATGAACGAAAAAAAAAAGTCCAGTGTTCCTTGAAGTAGCCCCTTCAAAATAGCCACAAAATGACTTTATTCAGGCTGCACGGCTGAATGGATTTATCAGCCAAGGTGTTACATTATTTGAAATGCCACCATTAACCGCAGACGTGCAATGAATGGAACAGGGAAAGGTCAGTGACACACAGCTGAAGAGGCAGACGGCAGAGGATGCTCCATTTGCTCTTTATGAGAGATTTTGCTTTCTGCCTCAGCCGAAAATCTTTCCTCGAGTGTTTGTCATTTGGATGGACGCAACTGTTGTCTCGCGTTTCCATCAATAAATCAGTGCCGCTCACGTCAGCGCTGAAGTCAGGTTCAAACCCGACTACGTGTTCGAGTTTGCTACGTGCTTATTTTTTCCCTCTCGTGTCCCGATGACGAAAAGCGAGAAAATTTGTCACGGTCTTTCTTCCACTGCAAGAAAGTGGATCATCGTCACGGTTTACAAACGTGAAGTAGGCCGACGTGGTTTGTATATTCAACACCCATTTGCGAATGATACTACAGGAATGCAAAACTTACAAATGAGCAAAGCACTTTTTTTTTTTTTTTATCCTCCAAATCTGTGATCTCTGGATACCCGGATTTGTGTAAGTACTAAATCATAAGGCGAACAAAAAAGAAAAAAAAAAAAGCAATCTTCTTTTTCGTAAACAAACGAAAGATGCTGGCACACGCAGGCACGCCTGCTCCAGCAACCTTCACGCCGTGATTTGTGTGCGCCGTTATCTACTTTGCGCAGGCACAGTGAGAGCGAAGGGTCAGAGTTTGTGCAAGATCGCTCACAGTCAAAGCGAGCTCGCCGCCCCCTCGTACGCTGCACCACAAACAATGGCCGGCAAGTTTAGAACGCTTCTCGCGCCCCCCCCCCAAAAAAAAAATTGTTCATCGCATTTGAAGCGTTTGCCCTCAAGAAGGGGCGTCGTCATCAGCACCGCACCGTACGGCACACAGAAATGAATTCTGAAGAAGACAAGAGAATGGTTTCTTTCAATGGCAAATGAATAAAAATGCTATTTGCAAAGGGAAAGATGCTTGATAATCAATAAAATTGACCAAGGTAAGGATTAAGGCAACAAGCAACCTTACACGGACGAAGGAAAACCCAAACGTCATACACTCTCCTTGCCTTGAAAAGTATGACATCAGTGAGTCGCTTTTCTTCTTTCCTTTTTGGTTTTGCTGCAGACTGGCCATCAAGTGAAGGCGACTCTGCCTTACGTTTCATGACTGTCTTATACTAATTCGTCTTGCCTCCGCACACCGCTTCTAAGAAATCAAATTACAGCTTTTCTTTCTCCCAATATTTTATTAGTTGATTGACCTTCGGTGACTCAGTCAACCTTTTTTGTATTCTTACTGTTTGCTTGTTTTGCTTGAGAGGAGTTGAAGCTCTTCACAAAGCCCTCCAATTAAGAGCCTGCAGTCTGTGTGAGCCCCAATTCAAGATCCAAACTAAAGGGCAGCATTAGGCAAACCCTAAAAATGAGCAGAAAAATGTAACGGGGGGGGAATCAAAATCAAAACTGTTCAAGTATTCATAGGTTGATCCTTCAAGGATTTTATTTCATCTGCCCAGTCATGTCTTTTATGAAAATCTTCTTTGATATTTCACCGAGTGAGTGCAAAAGTCCTGCGAGCAGACAAACAAAACCAAGGTCCTTAAAGATCAAAATAAATAGAGGCGGCACTTGTCAAGAATTTTAAAAATCATTTTCACAGTGCAGGATGGTAACGCGAGCGAAAAAAGTTCTTTTTTTTTTTTTTTCGTTTTTGACACAAAAAAATGGAGTAAGTGGCAGATCCACCAATAAGTTTTCCACAAAAAATGTATTCCCCCCCATCCCACCTCCCCAAAAGGTAAATCTGGAGCAGCGAGCAGCATGCGAGGGTCCACTGTACACCAGTTTCCACAATGCAGTGCAGGGTGCAAATGAGCAACGTTCCGATATGGATATCCGCCTCCCGCTGGAGGGGAAACGGGCCCTGTGGTGCAGTCGCTGATATAAATAGGCCTTGGCTTTATTTCGCTCTCATAAACATGCAGATTGATTAGGGTCATTTTCTGCTAGCCTGCCTCCATCCACCCAAGCCTTCCCCTTCATTAGTGATGAAATCCGAGATTTATTGCAACGTCTGTTATTTTCAGAGCATAATTCATTGGCCCCGCGGCTGTTTTTTTATGTAGATGAGCTGTGGGGACTCGGCGCATTAATGGCATGCGTCTATGTCCGTAGGAGCGCGTTCAGGTGAGCAACGGGGCTTTGCTAATCAGTCGCCTGACCCTGTCGGACACGGGAATGTACCAGTGTGTCGCCGGGAATAAGTATGGCGAGGTCTACTCCAACGCCGAACTACGAGTTATAGGTAAGATCGTGCGATTGTGGCTGTGGGTGCGCGTGTGCATGCGTTCGTTCCATTTTGCACCATCCTCTTCCTTGGGTCAATTTTACCAGATGACCTTTGCCCCCTCAGTTATTGGACACTGTCTCGCCGATAGCGATATACCGTACCTGAGCTTCTCTGTTTGCAAGTGCAATTCATCTGACCTGTGAGGCTTGTCACTCTGCACTTCCTGTCATTGGTCGGCAACCTTCCGACATGTTGGCGATATGTTCAGACTGCAGGAACGTCAGATTTTTGGGGATCGCATCGTGAAGCTCGACTCACGTCATTTACAAGTGATCGGATGTAATTTGACGCTTACGCACATCAGCGGGCTATATGGACTTGTCTGCGTGGGTCGCCATGGTAATGACGTGCGCATCCGTACGTAGGCTGACGATGCCAAATGCTAACGTGCAAGAATGAGCAATACGAAAACAACTTAGACGTATAAACAGAGATAATATAGCCTGAAGTTGTTGGGTTTTTTTTTTTACTCTTGATTGATGGTAAATTTTGCAGGCCTGTCAGGGTGCTACTTCTTGCGCACACACAAAAAAAAAAAAACTGCACGTCCTCTTTCAGTCTTTGCGATAAATCGTTGAGTATGGCCAGAGCCGCGCACTTTTGTGATTACGTTGTAGCGCGGCGCTCCTTCATCAATGCGTGTATGTCTGCTGTGGCAGCAATTAGACTGTAAGTGTGAAACGAGTCCTCCAACAGATTTGACAGGCCGGCAAAGACGCGTCCAGAAATGCACTCTGTTTCCGATTTCAGACCGTCTCCCCCGTGTTGTTTGAGAGCCGTCTTGATAATATCGGATTTCATGTGACTTTTGCTGGTTCAATTTGATCAAGTCAATCGCGTGAATGTGAATATGACAAACGTCCGGCGTGGGGCTGCCAGGCTCAACAAGGCCGTTCCGACCATGTGGATAATTGGAGTCAGTGTACAGAGTGCAGTGGTGTAGCTGAAAACAAAATGTCAAGGACTGGTGTCAGACTGCGCAAACCCTTTCGACTTACCACAAGGCCGAGTTGAGATATTATATTTAAAGGTGAAATCCCTCAATCAGAGGTCTTGGTTTTGAAATTCACATCAGATTGTGGAGCTTCTTCTTTCCGTTCCCGCAATATGCCCGTTAGGTTGACTTCAGACTCTCAATGTAAGTCGTACAGCCGGTGTGAATGTGAAGGTTTGCTTTTGTATACGTGCCCTGCTGTTGACGGGCCCGCTTTTTTTTTTTTTTTTTTTTAAACCAAAAGACTAAAATAACGTTCACGTTGTTCTTCAATGGAGTTTTTTTTTTTTTCAAAACCAAAAGACAAAAATAACGCTCACGTTGTTATTCAATGGAAGCCCACTGTGAACAGCAGGGTGTATTGTTTCTTTTATTTTGGAAACTGGGACATTTGCACTTCTTCTGTTTTGCACCAAGGTATGTGATGTCCACTGTAAGTTGGTGGTGGTGGTGTGTTTTTTCTTTCCATTTTATGGCCTTAACTTTAAGAAAGACGTAACCTCTGCAGGAATAATTGATATCGGTTCCGTCACCGCAATCTCAAGGCCGAGACGCTGTAACACGCTTTACTGTTATCGGGCCTGAAAATAGATTTAGGAAAAAAGCAGAACATCTGTCATCTGAGAGAAGGGACAAATCCAAACCTGGTTAAAGCTCGGTGACCACAAAAAAGAAAGTTCGGGGGGGTAAAAAAAAAACAATGCCACCAAAGAAGGTGCAGTCTCTCGAATGGAAATGGAGCTTAAAAAAAATCGGTGTGCTGATGTGATAAATTGTTGAGAAAGCAGATCACTAATGCGCTGCATGAGAAATGAAATAACACGTCTTGCCCTCGTGCCTCAGCTGTTGCACCAGATTTCTCCCACAACCAATTGAGGAGCCAGACGTTGGTCAAGGTTGGCGGAGATATGCTCATTGAGTGCAAACCCAAGATGTCTCCGTGGGGTGTGATCTCTTGGAGGAAGGGCAGTGAAGCGCTCCAACCAAGTCAAAGGTAACTGATACACTTTTTACCCTGAAAACACAGCGAGACTTTTGCCTCCAAGTAACACTCAGTTTTTGCTCGGAGCGGAATGCTGCAATATACTACACCGTGAAATCCGTACCGTGAAACAATGATGTGGCTTATTTGTGCATTTATTTCCCAAGGAAATGCTTTGCTTTTTCAAAGCGTCATCCTGTTTTTAAATCTAATCCTTGCACTTTTGCACTCAGACCGACTCGACCCAAACGCCAGTCGTCGTGCCGACGATGCAGCCTTCAAGTTGAAGGCCATTGACCTTGCCGTTGTAAAAGGCAGTCCAGCCGCCAAATCCTAAAATGTGTCAACTTTATTTTTTGGGGGCGGCATTCGGCTTACATACCCGTTTTGTGAATTTTACAGTAAATCAAGGAATGACTGACATCTGACAGGATGTCTGAGACTTGACATTTTCATTGGTTGTCATGTTGAACATCATCTGTATTCCTTCAATGTGCCTGCTGTCACTGCTGAAGAAACGCATGTCAAGTTACATTTTTATTCAGGCGCAAAAAAACAAAAAACAACATTGCATGTATACACACACACACCATAAATGACGTATTAGACTCAGGGTGGGCAATTAATTTTGGAAGGGGAACACATGAAAACCTGGAACACCTGCCAAGACGCCAACCTCAACTTTGTCTGGATAGTTTTTATAAAAAGCAGATTGTCTGGTTTGACAAAATTGTAGAAATGGTATGTATTATTTTTGGAAAGATACCGTTTCAAGAAAGTTATTAAAATGAAATCTTTTACCCTTTAGCACTTTAGCTTTAGCAAAATTTTTTGCTCCAACGCCCGCTCATATTAGCCGCTCCTCGTCAGATCACCCTAATAAATTGATATGCAGCAAGTATGATGTTGACAGTGACGGTAAATGCTACAGACCAGTTATGACATACCTCATACGTACATACGAAAGAGTCACTACATATAGCGAAAACGTTGCTACACTTGAGACACAAGTATAGCTGATGCTCGCGACATTGCTGTTATAAGCGTCCACACATGTGCGTATAAAAAGCAGAACTTTCAAAATAAAAGCACCACATATTTTACGTTTTACGATTTGATATTGTCCGCAACTCGGGCATAAACTAAGTGGAAGTACAATCATGGATCTGTTCGCAAACCAGTGGTTTGTACAATATAGTACGACAACAAGCTTCCCCAAAGCATCCCAATGCGCCTTGCCGCTCAGCATTCACATTTTTACATTAAAACCAACACAATCGTAATTTAATGGCCAATTTAGCCGCTAGATTTTGACCCGCTCACATCAATCAGACTCGTTTCCATGGAAGTATACCTTTTATTACCAACCATTTATTATCAGCCATCTGCTCAAAGCGTTACATTCATTATTCCAAGGGTGCAGACACACTTGGCTCATTAAAACAAAGTGACAATGAACACCTTCTTTCTTCCTCGCCACAGTTCATCTCGTCGCTGTCTTTCAAATGGAGATACAGTTTTGTTTTGGTTTGTTTTAAAATCTTGACGGCAAAAACGACGCTGCCCAAGCATGTCACGTTAACAAGTCGCCGCATACGTCGGTTTGCTTTTGCGCAATGTGACAGTGTGGACGGTCGGTAAAAGATGACGCCAGTCGTTATCGATGGCAGTCATCGAATCAAAGGCGGCGACAGCATCAGAGCAGTTTGTGTTTCGCACCAATGCCGTTCCAAAAATGCAGCCTGAAATTACACGCTAGGGTGCCGTCCGTCTTATTGGTGCTCGGTGGTGAAAGCAACGTGGTAAATAGGATGGATTGAGGTGGCACATTTTACCCTTACGGCACTTGCGTCTTTCACTGAAGGAAAGTCAACAGCTTGTTCACACACAGATCACGCAGCCTCACAAGCAACTCTCTCCCCAAATTGCGAGCGAGACAGTCATTCCACCACCTGAGCCGTAACTCCCCCAACGGAACCATTTGGAGTCCTTTAATGTGTCTGCGAAAAGACTTTGGCGGCTTGTCGCGCCACAATCATAAAAGTGGACAACCCCACACAGGGGGCATTCTTTTGGACGAGGTGTTAAAGAGCAAAACGACTGAACATGAAAGACAAAGGGGGCTTCACATCTGGATCCAGATCATTTGATTGCGTGCAACAGACTGATGAAATCAAATTGGGTAAATTCAAAGCTCCCATTTTTTTTTTTTAGTGCACAAGTTCCACAAAAAGTGAACCATACAACGAATAACAATGAATAAAAGAATAATTTGAAAAATAATTAATTGAAAATGATTTTAAATTGTGCTTAATGTCTGTGAGACCTTGTTTAATTAAAAGATTTCCAAAGCCTGGAAATGTTCAGCTTCTCAACAGTCAATATTCTCAGCTAGGCGAGCGCCGGGTAAGCCCTGGAATGCTCACCAGCCGATCAAAAAAAAAGAAACATAATTTGCAGAGTGTTCCAAACCCAATTTAGTCAAATAAGCATTTAACCTATTTTCCCTTATCCATCGTTCATCTGGATTTATATGGATGTTTCCACTCAGAGAGGTTGAAATTGGATGATGAAATTTCGGAATTTGGGTGACTGGGGCTTAAACGTGCCTTTGAGACCATTACACTGAGGATAAGGATAAAAACAGGTCATTAGTTCTACTGGAGGGAATTAATTTTTGACACCCTGTTATCATGACTATAATGTAAAATGCTGAAATACACACACATGAACATCCAGGATCCTCGTGCCCCAGCAAATTGCCACTCCCAACTTTCAGCGCAAACTTCAATTAGTCACTATCTGGTCCTTTCCGATATTTGTGTTCAGGGTCCGATATTTGCATTACACACCACCAACATTAAACAACATTAAACAAATAGAAATAATTTTAAAAAATACGGAATACATTTCTGATGAATTCTGAGCGTGATTGATTTAAAATGGCATCAACTGGAATCCTCATGAGGAGTGCTGCCGACATTAATTCCCATCAACTATGTTTTATTTTGGCAATGGGTGGACAAAAGTCTTCCCCAACACTGGTTTGATCATTCAATTAGGAGAGTAAAAAAATAAAATAAAATAAAATCTATGGCCAGCCGATCTCAGCATTTGGTCTCTTTTGGATGATGTCGCCGTTTATCAAAACTATGTTTGATGCGTATGAATGTGGCAGACCTCCGGAAATTAGACCTTGACCAGTAGCTTGTGATTTATCAAAGTGGATGTTACATTGAACCTACTACAAAGAAAAGATAGAGAAGGTGATGCAGATTATTTAAATTTAGAAGTAGACGCGATGACGTAACGTACACACACACACACACACACACACACACACACACATAACACCCATGCGCGCGCACACACTACTAAATACGACTACTATTAAATAGCCTGCGAATAGTTTCTACGTTTTGTCAAAGATTAAATTGTGACACCGGTGATTCATTGTAAATTTGATTATTTTGCCATCCACATTATCGTTCGTATTTCATAGAAGAAAATGACTGCTCAGATTGGAGGCATCACGCAAGCAACATTTTTTGGTATTAAAAAAAAAAAAAATCACTTGTGTGCATACTTTTTTACACCACAATTTTTTTTTCCCCCACAAAAAGTTTTTTCTCCATTTTTTTGGGGGTCCAGACTCAATGATTTGGGTGAAACCAACCGATGTTCTATTACTGATGACTAAAAAAATGCAATTAGGTAGAAAGAAACTCAAGCGGGTCAAATCTTTCATTTGACAGTTTCTGAGAGTTTCTGTGTTTCTGTGTGCGGAGCCTTGAAAGATTGGTCAGAATGCTCTAAATTGGCTGGCAGTCAAGAGGTTCTCTTGTTTTTTTCTGGGTGGCATTGAAAGAGGGGAATCAGGATCAAGTACCCCAGGTTTGAACAACTACATCTATATATATATATTTGTTCGCGCAATAATAACATGAAATCATCAAAAAGTACAGTCATCCTGGGGAGATTGTGATGCAGTCCTCAGACGTGTGAGCACATTTGCAGAGCAGCAAAGTGGAAAAGCAGCATGAGGCCGAAGTTGTGCTTAATGGCCTTTTCCCCGCCAAAGCGGCCATCTGTTAACTCAATCCAAAGTGCTAATCAAGTACTTTTCACCTTCATGGGGATGCGAGGCTGGTGAGATCTTTTTTTTTTTTTTTGTTAAACTTGTTTTTTTAAACTTCTGATGGAATTCCAAGTTTCACAAATAACACTCAGCCATCATGAGGTTCTCGCACGTTCAATCTCGGGGGAGACGTGACCTGCTCTCTCGTTTGACGTCCGGCTCGGGTGCCTCGCTGCACACGGGGGTCATCCGATTGCTGTCAGCACGCAAGCATGACTCCACTCGGACAGCCGTGCTGCGTGAGCGCGGAGTCTTGCCGGGCTTTGCATACATCCAAAGCGGTGTTGTTGCTTGTCAAACAAAGTGATGGAAAATTTGCACAGCGGTTTTACTTCTGATGCCCTCCACTCACCTGTGACGGCTTGGCTGCACGTTCCTACCTCAGCGCATCGTGACTATTTCAACTGGGATAATATTAACAGAGAGTCCGCATTTGTCTGGAAGGTGACACCTGTTAATTTGGTGAGAAATGAAGTGTTTGCATTTTACTCTCTTTGCCCTTTTTCCTCATTTCATAGTATTACCAACAACCATTAAAGCAGAGAACAAAAGCGTCATATTTTAGGATTAAATGAGCGTGCTAGCTCTTGATATCGCTGAGATAACAATGCTCGACAGGCGGGAGAGAAAATGGATGGATGGATGGATAGGAGTTTATCTTTCACCACTTAAGTTGGATGGTTGCCATGGCAACAACAGCGGCATTCTTTCTTCTCAAAGCTAGCGAGGTTCTAAATAAATGCAAACAAATATTCTGCAGAGGAGCTTTCAGGCAGATTTGTTTGTTGCGTTCCCTGCTGCTCTTTAGATGTTGAGAAGTATACGGTTTCTTTCAAATTAGACGCATCTGTGTTTTTAAAATAAACATTTTTGG